GGTACTGGAGATAGAACTCCGGACCTTACACTTGTGAAGCAGGTGACGGAACCACTGAGCGATCTAAATCCCAGGCCCATACGTATTTAGTTCTTTATGTGGATGACTCCAGATGGATGCTTGTGAGTTGATGGGTACGTGGTTCTGTCTGAAGTTTTGTTCGGTGTGTTTTTCAGGCTCCACCATGTTTAATGTCCTCAGAGGTGTTCTGGAGGTGGTGATTGGTGTGGCAGCTGGAGTTCTTCTTGGATTTTTCATCCGGTACTTTCCGAGCCGTGACCAGGTGGGAAAATCGCACTCTAGAAGTCACTGGAAGAACATTCTAGAATGTGCCCCTCAGAGCCAGATGTGAAGAGCGTCTTTGAGAAAGCGTCCCTAAAATTGCTCACTGGTCTCTCACTGTTATTTATGAGATGAATACGTGAGATCTTAGTGCAGTCCTGTATTATTTTCTCTAATTTATATTCTGAACATTTCATAATTCCTTCTAAAATGAACTAACATTAATTCAAAATAATAGGCTATGCAAGTTTTTAAAATTTGGTAATACTCAACTAAATTAAGGTGTGTGATGGCTTTTGATCTCTGTTTTAGTTAGATTCTAATTATGCAATGGATAAGTCTTAACATTTCATTATAATATAGCAAAATCTCCATAAGGAGAACAAAGTTCCTTACTGTACACAATGATCTTGTGATGAAAAAACAGTTTTGTTTTCCTTTACCCTTCTTAATTTCCTCCAGGTAGATAAACATCTGGAAATGTTTTCTTTCGGTAAAACTAGCACTACTTTGAAATTTCAGAACATTTTGAATGGAATTAGATACTTCACTAAGGAACTTTTTTTTTTCCAGTACTGGGGATTGAACTCAGGGTCTTTCACTTATAAAGCAGGTGTGATGCCACTGAGCTAAATCCCCAGCCCACTAACTTTTAATGAAGAAAATTAATATTTCTATTATCAAACTGTCTGTTGATTTGAAATGGTTATTGTACTGCAAAACCCTCCAAGTAAAAATATTTCAAAAGATTTTATGAATGTGTAAAGGAAAATTATTGAACCAGGCATGGTGGCCCTTGGGAGGCTGAGGCAGGAGGATTACAAGTTCAAGGCCTGCCTGGACTACAAAGGAAGTTCAGTGTCAGTCTGGACTGTGTATATAGGGAGACCCTGTCTCAAAAAGAAAGAAGAGAGAGAGAGAGAGAGAGAGAGAGGGAGAGAGAGAGAGAGAGAGAGAGAGAGAGAGAGAGAGAGAGAGAGAGAGGAAGGAGGAAGGAAGGAAGAGAAAGGAAGGAGGGAGGAAGAAAAGGAAAAAATTATAGGATTATTCTAATTACACAGTAAAATAAACAAATACGATAGCTTACACTTTCCTTCTTACCAGGCTAAACTGACGAGGTAGATTAAGTCTGGCTCAGTGACCCTCTGCTCAGTTGCCAGCCGCCAGCTGGTGTGGATGCAGCAGATACAGGTGTTTCCACCGTGGCTGAACTGCATGTGGGAGGTCTGTCTGGTGCAGCCCACACGTGCTCCACGGGAGACTGAGGCTGTCGTGACAAGGCCTTGCACCGTCACTGGCTAGCAAGCAGTGCGGCCTCCGGGAAGGAGGTGGCCCACCGGCACCAGGTGCCCGAGGCAAGCACTTCCGAGACTACTTCCTGCAGTGATCTGGGGTTTAAGAGGGAAAAGTAAAGGGGGAAGGACCGGGTCCCTAGACGGTAGGACAGCAGATAGATAACTGCTGTCACCTCTTAAAGACCTTCCTTGTATTCTAGCATTTGGAAAGAAAAAGTAAGTATCGGGAAAAGAGTAAACAGAATGAAAAGAATAGATATATTCTTCTTTCTTTCTTGGGGTGAGGTACTGGAAGCTATACCCAGGGACTTTGCCTTGAGCTTTGTCCCCAGCCTTTTCTAAGACTCCTTCCTCAGCCTCCCCGCGTGCCGGGATGGCCGGCACATGCCACCACACCTGCTTGGAGACACAGCTTTAACCTTCAGCAGAACCTGTGGCCCAGGTGCTTTCAGAGAGGTCACCGCTCAGAGGTAAAGCAGTGACGCTGAAAAGCTCGACTTGCAGTCCTGGCCTCTGCCCCTGCACTGGGCCAAGTCTGCATTGCTAACTGCACAGGAGGCCAACTGGCTTCCTAAAAGAGGACCGGGTCTGCGGCGCGTCGTGTCTGCTCTGTGGAGAAAGAGGAGGGACATCCTCGTTTTCCTCTGAGCCCTGGATTAGGAAGCCGCGTGGCAGGTGCCTCACGCTCTCCCACTCCGTCCGCAGGCCTCCCTGGCGCTGATCCGCGCCTCCGTGGTGCTGGGCCTCTCGGTGCTGGCGGTGTTCAGCAGCACGCGCCTCGGCTTCCCCGGCTCGGGTGGGCTGTGCACGCTGGTCATGGCCTTCCTGGCAGGCATGGGCTGGAGCGACGAGAAGGTAACTTTTCATCCCAACTTCTGCTCTGATGTCTTTTTGAGCCATCCTTTATGTTCAGATTCCTAACCCTAATCACATTTTTTACCATCGGAGCTATTTTCTGTGCATATACAAACGTACCCCAGCGCACACAGCCACAGCTTCCCTCCCTTTCAGTCTGGAATTGAGGTCTTCAGCTCCACGGTGGCCACAGCTGCAGCCGTCACACTGGGCGGGAGGCCACACTTTAGTCAGACCCCTGCTCGCGGACATTTCAACTGCTCTGGCTTTATACCAAGACAAACTGTGTTTGCTACAGCATCCTTATATATATGCCTTATCTCAAAAACTCCACGACACTATCAATGCTGGAAGCTCCATTCTTCGTCTTATATGCCGTGTAGGAAAATGTCTACATCAGTGTCCCTGTGACACAGCCCACTTTTCTGCAGCAGCCTCCACTAATCCACCCTCCTCGAAAGGGAGATGACTCACAATCATATTTGTCCTACTCTTTATATCACACTCAAATCCTGATGCCCTCTCATTAATTTATTTATGTTTTTATTTTTAAAATATTTTTCGGTCAGATTTATCTGGCTCCAAAAGTGACCTAGGCTACTCTAGGGTGGCAGTATTATTACGCAGTATGTTTTTCATTTTTTGATAAGTATTTCAATGGCATGGACCAAGTGTTTTATTAACATTGTGATTCTAAATCTTATAATTCAAAGTTAAGCCTTTAAATTATTAAGAAATGAGCTAGGAAAGATTAAGTCCTGAGGTGGAATCACAGGATTTGAGCTGGCACCCAAAAGGGGCTTCAGCCCCCCAGAAACCCAGGGAACTTGAGGCTCCTTTAGAGAAAAGAAGCTTGAACTTCACGGCAGGAAGCGGAAATAGGGAGAGGCAGCTCCTCATTTCATGTGGCACTGCAGGAAAACTAGGATGCAGGTTACACAGAAGGCTGTAGCAATCAGATCATTGCTTTCTTTGTCTGCATTTGCCGTGGCTTGGCCTGAGCGTCTTGCAGCCTGGCTCCTACACAGACAGTCATTGTATCCCATGACCCAGAAGAGAACAGTACCTTTTGTGTTTATCTCTGTATGTATACGTGTGTGTGTGTGTGTGTGTGTGTGTGTGTGTCCTATATATGTATATGGGGTACGTCCAGTCTATGCTATTTCAATCAAGCTGAAATCAAATTTCAGATCATTTTCTTAGGGCAGATTCATGAAATTTAGGGGTCCAGTAATATCATTTTGAGGGCTTTAATGCATATTGTCAAGCCACTTTCTAGAGTTCTATGTCTACTTTTTCACCAGTAATACATAAAGTACCATCTCCTTATGACTTCGTCGGCTTAGAACCATTTTTCCAAACTTTAATATAAATCAGAATAACCTGGAAGGGTAAAATTAAATTTAGGTAGACTATAGTGGGATTTAAGGATTTGTACTCCAGTACATTTTCATACAATGAGACGGCTGGGGTTCCTTAGTTTTTGCACCAGTTCTGCTAGGGTCCCAGGGAGGGGTCCTGCGGGCGTCCCCTCCACAAGGCCACATTGCAGCTCTGGGCAGGTGGATGGGCTGCCTTTCAACAGACCCCTCACACCGTTCTTCCTGGCTTCCTGCTTTTCCTTTCTCTCTTTCCTGAGTGCCAGCAGTGAAACCTAGGGCCTTGCACACACAGGACAAACTGCCCTGAGCTGAGGCTCTGCCGGGGCCTCCTTTTTCTAAGCATTTTCCTTCACACATTTCAGAAAGCTACATACTCAGATCAAATAACTCAGATTTCAACTTAGTAAAATTCTTGGCACCTGTCCCGTAGCACAATAAAAATGACTCTGTGTGCTCTGCTTTTCTCTTAGGGTGAGGTTGAAAAGATAATTGCAGTTGCCTGGGACGTTTTCCAGCCACTTCTTTTTGGTCTGATTGGAGCAGAAGTATCTGTTGCATCTCTCAGACCAGAAACTGTTGGTAAGAATTTCAAAGTGGTTCTCGTGATAAATCAGATCTGTGTGTATTCAGTTGAGACATCTTCAGTAGTTACATGTGTGGGATTCCCACTGTTACACTTCTATGAAAAGCTGATTAAGAACTACGTCTTTTTGACTGATTATTTAGAAAATATTGCTTGCTTATCTAAAACAGTGGCTACCCAAACAGTGGCCTTATTTATTTATTTATTTTTTTCTCTAAGGACAAGAATGTTCACGTAGCCTTGTTCTGATTGTGGGCCAGAATTTTAAATACAATTCGTTAGCTCTGTAATACATACCCATGGGATAGAAATGCTGGCTGCTCCCTCTCTAGTCGCTCATGTAGCAGAGATTGCCCAGTGTTAGTGGGCTCTGGTTCATTGCGACCCACCCCTGTCCTGTTTGTTCCCTCCAGTCAGGACAAGCAGAGCCTCCCTTTTCATAGCCCTGCTTGCACACCAGCCATTGCCGCCTACTTCCAGACGCTTCACACTGTATCGCTAGACGTCTTCAAAGCACGCCTTGCTCACCTTCCCACACTTGTGATCAGTAAATACCGGGTCCCCTTGGTGCCCTTTGTCTTTGCTGCCCAGAGCAGCATAGAGCAGCCCGAGACCCAGTTTTCTCTCTGTTTTGTTTTGTCTTTATTCTTATTAGCGTGAGTTGTGTTGCCTCATAGGAGACCAAGACCCAGTGCAGGGGTCTTCAGTAGAATTGCTGTTCCCTATACATTCATACATTCAAAAGCCATCGTAGTGCCGGGCGTGGTGGCTCACGCCTGTAATCCCAACACTCGGGAGGCTGAGGCAGGAGGGTCGCTGTGAGTTCAAGACCAGCCTGGGCTACATAGTGAGTTCCAGGTCAGTCTCAACTACAGAGTGAGACCCTGTCTCAAAAAAAAAAAAAGAACAAAAACCAAAAGCCATCATAGTGAAACGTTTGATCCACAATACTGCATATTCATTGGTTTGTGGACGATATTCGTTCCTTTCTCCTCTCCTTCCGTCCTAGCGTCTTTCCACCATGACGGGATCCCACTCCCTTCTGCCTCTTTCTGCAACACACATCTATTCTTCCCTTTCCCTCCTCCATATTCAAATACCCTTTCAGACGTTTTTCCTCTTTAGAATTTCAGTTCTTTCATCTCTTCCCTCCAAATGACGCCTTCCGTTCTGACACACGCTGGGACACAGATGAACCTCCGGTACGCCAGGCTGCGATGAGCCAGGCACAGGAGCGCTGCTGCTCTGTCGGCGCCGCTTCTGACGTACCCAGAGCAGTTGAGTTCGTAGACACAGAAAGGGTAACTGTGGTTACAGGCACTGAGCGAGGAAGTGAGTAGCTGACAAAGAGAACATGTTCTGCAGATTAGTTGCACAATAGTGTAAATATCCTTAATGCTACTGAACTGTACACTTAAAATGTTAGGATGGTAAGTATTGCATGTATCTTACACAGTGTAAAATAACACGTGTTAAAATATGCTGAAAATTCTGGAGATGATGGGTGTACTCTTTCTCCGTTCCACCTGACCCCTGGCCTACCGCACTGTCTTCCTCCTTCCAAACTTTTCCAAGAGAATAACGGCATTCCCCATTCCTCTTTTCTTTTTTTTTTTTTTTTTTTTTTTG